GTAGAGACTATTCACTTAGCAAAGTGTATGTCCCTTTACCACAGTGAATAAGATGAAGCTGTGTTCACATAATTATCCAACAAAGTGAAATATTTTTTTTTAATTTCTCTTGCACATTACTGAGTATTTATAGTAAATACAGCTTTGCCTTAATTACTAAGCAAACTGAACATTTATTGGTAACACTGTTCAACAAATTTTTATTTTTTGCCAGTTTTTGGACACAAAAGGATCCATTTCTTAATGAATTTGACATTCTGAGTTCAAATATAACAATGAAATTTGTCAATTGGCTCTAGTTTTTCTGTAAACGGAAAGTTTTCTACTATAGGCGTAATGACTACATAATGCACAATAATTATATAGATAGATGTCTTTCCACAAACATAAAGCAAGTGATATTGACTACATAACAAAGCCTAAATGGCATAATATATTGCATAGGATTACCAAGAAAAATTATAGCCATAAGCTAAGTTGAATCATTTTAATACTTAGGATTCTCACTAGTTTTGTCTTCAGTTTGTGTCGGTTTTGCTTCTCTTGGCTTTTCTCTTGTATTCGAGGAAAGGGCTATCTCTTACAACTGCACGTGACTACACGCTTCAGGTTCTTCCTCACTTGACTCAACCACGAAGGATTCTGGTGCTTTAGGAATTGGTAGCCCCTCTCCATGAGGAACTGGACGTATTGCCGATGGAATATTTGGATAGTGCACAGATAACTTTTTCTTCTTATTTAGCCCTTTTACAATCGGAGGCACCATACAAAAGTAACAATTACTAACATGATCTGTTGGCTCTCTCCAAATCATTGGCACAGCGAAAGGCATAGATGCCTTTTTTCCATTCAACCATTGCTCCAGTGCCATCCCACAAGAATTGCAGCATATATGTGGTGCCCAGCTCTTGTCCTGGTCTCCTATCTTGCAGCCAAAATACAAGTTGTAGGCTTTCTTAATCATTCCTGTTATCCTCCTTTTTTGTGAGATAAAAGTTATTTCACCGCAGATATAGCAGAAATTATCTGCTTTATTCACACAAGTTCGAGGCATTACTGAGTAGCCTATATAAGCATAAAACGAAATGTAAAGACGCTGTCGAACTACAATCAGCTACAGATACTGCAGCTTTTATGCAGTGAAGTGATGCAATTAAAGGCTAATATTGCATCATCTCAGTATACATGCAATTTTCTATTGGTCACCAGTATCAATTGCGCAATATGCAGCTGAAGTTGCATCATAATTTTGAATGGCTTACGTCATTAGATGGGTGAATATATCATGGAAACTAGAGCCAATCAACATTTTTTAGGGTCATTTTCGTTTTCAGCACCCCAAAATTATGTAAGATTAGCTAATTTTATACCCAAAACTTTTTACCTGTCAAACAGTGTAAGTGATCCGTCTCTACTACTGAATATGGATAAGGTTCAGGTTCACTGCACAGTGGGTTTGCACCAAATCCAAGGATTTTGAGGTGTGCATTACTGACAAATATATGGTGAAGTTTTAAAGCACCCATAATGCCCTACCTGATTTTTCAACTGAGGGCAACAGGACTAGAATGGTCAACTCCCTCACCATAAAAGTTGGATTCTCAGCAGCCATTTGTCAGTGTGTGATCAATTAGTTTAGGGAGAGCTGGCAGTCTGTGTAGGGAGAGTCAGTTGCTATATGATGCTATACTGTGCTATATTGCACTCATTTACTGTGGGTTGCAGTGCAGTGGGCTACATATTCCTATGTAAATCCTCTCCCCCTTCTTTGTTCACAGTTGAGAGACCCAACAGCCCTTTTGACAACTACCATTTGTGTGTGTTAGCAAAAACTGTAGTTATTGTCTAGCTGCTGGGACTGCCTTGAGGTCTTTTTTGTTTTTTAGTTATTTTCTTTTATTTCAGGCTAAGTATTTCAGAATTTATATTTTTGGGGAGGCATATTTATATTTTCTGTTGTTGGGGCGCTTTTTTATTTCAGGTTCTGTAGCATACAGGCAAAGCTAGCCTTTGTTCGAAGCATGTCATTGCATACTTGTGCAGTAAAGTAATGTTCATCTAAGTATCACATACTTGTCCTATATCCATCGTTTTCATTATATAAAGGGCAATCCCCTTTGTTAACCTCCCTGGCGGTATTCCCGAGTGTAACATTTCAGTACCAAAAAAGCGGTAACCCCGAGCTACACTCGGGCTTACCCTGCGGCACTGCTCCGGCAAGTGTTCTTCACTTACCTTACCCTGCGCTCCCACGATGTGTCCCCTGCAGCGTCCCCGGCCATCTCCTCCGGCCGATGCCGGCATCCGGCTTCTGTGTCCTGTCCCTGTGACGTCGGGACGTACGGGCGCCGCCGCCGCCGCCGGCGGGAAATTTAAAAATTTTAAAAAATGTCATTTTTTTTTTTTTTACATTTTACACAGTAAAACATTGCTGTTTCAAACCCATTTCACATACATATTGTCCCGAGTGCTTTGTCCTGTGCCCTGCCTGCATTTTGTCTATTCTTTCTGCCTGGAAACTGAGAAATGTCCATGGCGTCCAAAAAGTGTCCCTTTAGGTCAAAAGCGGTTTAGATCAGCTAGAGAACAGCGATAGTAAATCAGAACCACTTGCAGAATTGAGTGATAATGATTCGTGGGAAATTCGTCATCAGAAACTGAAAACGATTTTGCGACTGAGCTCAGCAATGTGCGAACTTGGCGCTCTATTTCACATTTCAGTGTTTTTGGTTTGATTATATTATTGAATTAAATTTTTTATTATTTTTTATATTATTTTTTATGATTATTTATTAAATTATAATTTATGATTTTGTGTTTCAAATTTTATCATACCCGGGATGTTTACTAGACTCTTGTTCGGACAGATTTCAGTGAGTTTTTCCTAAAAATTACAGCCTACAATAAAAAAAATACATATTTCCATGCAAAAAAATGTACCGCTTTCAGCACCAAAAATCGGAAATAATCATACCGCCAGGGAGGTTAAACAAAATATCAGGTAGGTCTAAAGTGAGGCTGTGCATGAAGATAGTAGGTGGTGAGCAGATTTTGCAAGACAAAACAGTGGTGAGACCACACCACCTAGAACAGGGCACATTTGCATTTTCGATCACAATGTGGTCTTATTATACAGCAGTGGCAAGCTATGCAAAAAAAATATATGTAAATATCTTCCACCATTATTAACCCATGCCACCTCTCCTGTTCTGTTCTGGTAATTTGGCACTGTAAAGATGCCATACAATAATTTCACTCTCAAATCCAACCAAACTGGCAATGCTATTGTCCAAAGGTGTCCTTGCACTCATTCATCCAGAGTGGGGGGCACTGTAATATAGCAGATGTGTTACTGGCCGGGTCACCAGGTATAAAAAGAGGGGAAAAAAAGCATAAAAAAGAAAAAAAAGCCACCACATCTACGGTAATTTGTAAGCTGTAATATGTTACAGTTTTAGTTTTGGGTTTAATATCGCTTTAAGTTAGGGTTTGAATATATATTGAAAATAAATTTAAATTACATTAGAATTCTTTAAAGTAAATTAATTTCACATTATATGCTATAAATGCATATGTTGGTTGTTACAAGCTATTATGTTATTTATAGGTAACAAAAAATAAAATACGTAATTGTTATTATTTTGACAGTTTAAAAGTAGAGATTATTTAGAATTAATTTACTGTAGATAAGCATTACATTTCCCACATTTTCTGTGCTATGGTGTGGAGTGCTAGAAAAAAAAAAAATCGCGTTAACACATAAACATGTACATAAAAATATACTGAAACACTAAGTATATGAACAAGGTTGTAATACATTTAAAAGTGCAAGTGATGCAGTAACACTTAGAAATGCATTAATAACACACACACACCATTTTTTCTTTTTCTTCCACATGCTGAGGAAAATCACTGTCACATTTATGAGCAGTAAAAGATTACTGTTATGGAACAAGTATACAGAAATTGTGTTTGAACTTTTTTTTTCTTTTTTTTTTTTTTTTTTTTGCTATCACTTTAAGCAGATGAATAGATCTCTAAGGTAGGTATTGCATACTGCCCTGCTTGTCAAGTTCAGATCCTGGTCAAGTATGTTGAATTATGTTTACAGAATTGTGGTCATTGTAATTCTGTATGAATGTAAAATGCAGGCACTTAAACCATTCTATAATGGGATGTCTAGACAATGGTTCTATTTGCAAATGAGAACATCAAAGTTATTTAATTCTAATACACAGTTACTGACTACTTGCCTGGCAGCAAAACTGAAAAGCGTTCTACTCCACGACAAAGTCAGATAAAACAAGAAAATGTTAAAAAATACAAATATAAAAATACATTAGATAAACTGACATAAATATATAATAGCAAAGGCAATAGATACTTTTTTTAATGAATTTGTCACACATGAAACATGATGGTTGTGAACCAGACTGAGAAATCTCGTTTAAAGAAATACAATAATGGTTTTTGGTTCATTTTTTATTTTTTTCTTCAGATTTGTTTTTTTTAAGCTGATGTGTTATATCTATTTTACCACAGGTATGCATGTATGACAAAGTATTTCCAGACTAAGCTAAATGTTTATCTGACTGAAATTTTGGATTAAGCCTTCCAATATATCCAAGCCAGGTTCAGACATTGTATAAAATTATTCAGTTGCATGTTTAAATTTTAGCTTCAGCTATTGAGGTTTGTAAATAACAGTTTTTATTATAGCAGGTGGTAAACAGAAAGTGAAAAAAGAGCCTAACTCTCCATTTTCTGGCTGGACTGCATAATACCCAGATGAAACTTTTAATAGTTACTCCATTTAAAAAAAAAACATTTACTTTTTAGTCCTGTACATATTTAGTAAAAAAACAAACCTGAAAATCACTATACAAACCTTTAAAATAATTCTATCAATGCCAAGAAATCAGAAGTTTTGATTTTAATTTTAGATTTCCAATATATTGACACAAAACAGCATAGAAGCTGCAATATATAATTACTTGACAAGGATGAACCAGAGCAGGGGTGGACTGACAACTCATGGGGCCCCCGGGCAATAGGGCATCATGGGGCCCGTGTCCTTGCCCAAACTCAAAAAAGCCTATGAAAAAAGGTACCAGGAGCATCTCATGGGGCCCCCTACTGACCCCGGACCCTCGGGCAGTGCCCGAGTTTCCAAATGGTCAGTCCGCCCCTGAACCAGAGTAAATTTTATAGTAAATTTTAATGCATTTTCATAGTCTTATAGGCTGTGCAAAATATTTGTAGTATGCTGAAGCCTTCATTTAGACCCTGATGGGCTAGGAATAATGTTGCTTTAGCTATTTAGTGAATTTCCAAGCATTGTTTTTGGTTGCAACAAATTTTCTTTAACAATTTACAGAACCAAAACTGCTTGTTATAGATTTTATTCATTTTATCTGGTTTTACTTTCTCAAAATGCATGTTAAGGTGGATGGAAAACCAAACAGAATGACAATTAATTAGCCAAAGAACTGTTTTTAATTAGAATACTTGTTTTGTGAATACAGTGATCACTGTTGCCTGCTATAGCCAGCCAGATTGAAATTAGGCTTGTTCCTGCTCAACTGCAGTTCTCTCTTCGTATGATTCAAAGTAGCACCTAAAAAATTACATGGGTTCCTTTTTCTTTTGTTACAACTAAATTCTACAGGACGTAGTGTAGTAGAACTCTGTAGGCAATCATTATTTAGAGACTAGAAAAAGGTTGTATTTGAGTGTCCGTATGACATATAGAATGCAGAACTCTCCAGGTTGTAATGCATACTTGCATGATTGGGGAGAGTTTTTGGCATCCATCGGCCATTAACCTCCTTGGCGGTATGATTCTTTCCGATTTTTTTGTGCTGAAAGCGGTACCATACCATTTTTTTTACATGAAAATATGTAGTTTTTTATTGTAGGCTGTAATTTTTAGGAATAACTCACTGAAATCTGTCCGAACAAGAGTCTATTAAACATCCCGGGTATGATAAAATTTGAAACACGAAATCATAAATTATAATTTAATAAATATAATCATAAAAAAATAATAATATAATAATACATTTAATTCAATAATATAATCAAACCAAAAACACTGAAATTTGAAATACAGAGGGAAATTCGCACATCGCTGAGCAAAGTTGCAAAATCGTTTTCAGTGTCTGATGACGAATTTCCCCACAAATCATTATCACTCAATTCTGCAAGTGGTTCTGATTTACTATCGCTGTTCTAAAACTGCTTTTGACGTAAAGGGACGCTTTTTGGACGCCATGGACTTTTCTAAGTTTCCAGGCAGAAAGAACATTCAAAATGCAGGCAGGGCACAGGACAAAGCAATAGGCACCAAATATATGTGAAATGCATTGAAACAGCAATGACAGCAAAAATGACATTTTTAAAAAATTTCAAATTTCCCGCCGGTTCCGGCGCCCGTACGTCCCGACGTCACAGGGACCGGAACACAGAAGCCGGATGCCGGATCCGCCGGAGGAGATGGCCGGGGACGCTGCAGGGGACACATCGTGGGAGCGAAGGATAAGGTAAGTGCTGCAGGGACCCCCAGAGCAACGCCGCATGGTAAGCCCGAGTGTAGCTCGGGGTTACCGCTCTTGGTATATAAATTTTACCCCGAGCTACACTCGGGATTACCGTTAAGGAGGTTAAAGAGATTGTAAAGTTGTTTTTTTCATTGAAATAAAAATCAAAGTCATAATTGCCTGCTCTGTGCTGTACATGCTCCTGAGCTGGGCTGTGTGTGTCTATAGACATGCATAGTGTGGCTAAGCTACGCCCCCACTCCCTCATTACAGGATTTGAGTGACAGCAGCATGATCCAATGGCTCCTGTTGTGTCCTGTAACAGCAGGAAATTAGAGCAGCACTGGTAGGGGAGATAGCTATCTTTTAATGTATATGTGAACCCTTCTCTTATAAAACAGCCCATTCATTTTAAAAAACAAATTCAAGGCAAAACGTTTGTGTGAGTATACAGTACAAATAAAAAACATTATACATACTTTTTTTTAAAAGTGATCACATGGCCTCTTGTTCTCAGCTGCATAGGGGGCTTAGAAAGGTGGGGATAGAGACTGCAGGGTGGTGTATCATCAGGAGGCAGAGAAACAGCAGTACACCAATCTGCCCAGTGAAGACCTGTACCGGGAGCATGCCAGCACAAGTCTAACCACTGGAGGACAGGCAGGCTGTGCTCCCAAGTAAAAATATAAAGAAGAAAACTGACCACAGTGGATGGAAGGATGGATGCGCTTTCATGCCTGGCATGGTCAGTGTGAAATAGGAAATTGGGGAGACTAGCGGGATCACCAGGTATTTCACACAAAGGAAGCAATGCAAAGAGAACCAGATACTTCTTCATACAAGTACATGGTACAGCAGGCACATATGATTATTTGGGGGTAATATACACTTTAAGGTTACTAAATTTCACTTTTATTTTTGTTCAGCGCAGTTGCTAGTTCAGCAATACCGCTGAACTGTGTTGAACTCATATATGGACAATGCCGTAGATCTGCCTGATGCCTTGACACAGATCTGTGTTATTTTTATTAGTTTGGGGGTCAGCTTGTAAACAGAAATAATGTTCACCAGTGCAGAAATTTCACATGCTGAGAATAATTTATGGGGCAGCCATAAAATGGAAGGTTGCATTTAATTCTGCTACAAAGGCTCCGAAGAAACAACTAACGTAAAAGCATTATATATTTCTCCAAAACACATTTGTGAGAGTTTATAGGACAGCAATGCTCTATAAACCTTCAAACAGATGCACATTTTTAGACTGATATAGCCAAGTTATCACGAGATGCAGACGATCTATAAACAATATTACGTTTTCCAGAGTTGCTTTTTTCAACACAAGTGTGAGCCATAAAATCACCCTGATTCAGCCTTGTGGTTACTCATGCGTTCCTACTTATTATCACTCAGTATAACATATTCAAGTCATTACTATGGAAAGCTAATCAAGGCGAGATTTGTGATTCTGACACTCCAAAAAGCTTAACAAATTGCTGATTTTCCAGTGCCACTGTTAACAACACACATGGCAGTGAAAGTAAGACATTCTTGTATTATGACTGAGCAGGACTGTAGCAAGGAAGTTCACATAGGGAAAGTGTGCTCCTTTTTTTCCGAATCTGCTTTCCTCATTCATGCTGTGGGTTCCTTAGTAAAGGATATGTTCTATTAGAAAAGCTTTCTAAAAACGAAACTGAAGTCAAGTCCACCCCAATTGAATACCGAAGCATATAGTGAACTCTATTTGAATGAACTTTTGCTTGAACATTACAGTGGTGAAGTATCTCTGTCTCTGCTAATTCAAAGCAATGGCATAGTTCTCTTGCAGATTTGTTTTTCTTTTATTTCTTAAAGTGTTACTAAACCCAGGAGCCTGCATTCCCTATATCTGGTTTCCCACAGTACAGAGAACATGGAAATGCAATTATTTTAGTACATATAAACTGCTAAATACCTTTTCTCATCAGCAGTTAGAGCAGTCTTGTGACTTCAGCAGCAGAGCACTGGTTAAAGCTTGTAGGAGGAGTTTTCTGTCTGCTCTAGGAGGATGCAAAACCCCTGACCTCTGTCTGGACAGTGCTGATTGGCCCTGTGCTGATCACATGCACTCTCCCAAGGAAAAAAAAACCTCTCTAGCAATACACACTAAACTGAGCATGTGCAGAAGGGCTACAGGTTCAGTCTGTCTTATCAGTGTGGACATTTGAACAAAAGGAGGGGCAGAGAAGTCAGGATCAAACAGCCTTTTTACACACTGCAGAGGATTAATCCCTTAGGTTCCACAGTGAGTATAACAAGCATGCTTTACTTCATATACAGACTGATTTTACTGTTGTGGGTTTAGTAACACTTTAATAATTTTTTAAACCTGTACTCCAGGAATTAATATTTTTACATAGTTTGATAGAAGATTCCTTACCTTTAAACAATTTACTAATGTCTTCCAATGCAGTCTTATATACACTGAATAAACATATTTTTATAAACATATTTTCCTGCATAGTAAGGGGTCATTCCCCTTTACTCCTGTTCCATAAGACCAGTAGCCACAATCTGTGTAACTCATTCACCGTATAGTGGGAGGACCATAGTTCAGGTCTGACCCAACCACTGTGTAGTTTATTCATTAGAATAGTGGGAGAACCTGGGTTCTGGGGTGATGTAAATCCATTATCATCCAGCTCATCCAGCAATGCAGATCCTTACTAATCATGATGAATGCTTCTCAACCTGCCAAAAGAACAGACCTACCAACACGTCAGATACTGTAGCTCACCCACTGAGATTGACAGCTCCAATTCTTTGCAGCAGAAAGTAAACAAGGGGCAGGGTATGCCAGATGATGACCCCAGAGCACCCCACAAAGGATACAGGCACATACACTGGATGCTTGCTGCTAGAGATGCCATTGACCTGCAGGAAGAGGTACTTAAGCTGAACTGGCTAACAAAAGAGAACAGACAAAACCTCCTAGCTGACCTGCAGTTGTAGATTGAATGACCTAGAAGACACTTTGGTTTTGGGAATCCTATCATGCCTTGCTACCTTAAAGTGTCATTAAACCTAGACTTTACAAAACTCTCATTACATGTTATAAAACAGAGCATGCATACTTACAAAGTGAATAAAGCATTTATTTTGTGTAGAGTGAAAAATACTTAGTTGATCTTTCATTCAGCTGTCCCTCCCATCATCCTCTCTGTCCCCATTGCAGACAGAGATTGTGTAGACCAGCTGTTGTAGTCTACTAAGCATGCTTCAGTTTCAGTTTCCTTCTAAGCCCTTAATTTCCTCCTTTTTCCTATCTGTGGAGCTCACATGAGTATAGATTTAAGCATGTGGGCCTATACACAGTGGTAAATGACACTCCATCCTCCTCATGCCCTCCTATTGCTAAGCATTATTATTAAGGGCACAATATATTATACTGATTGACTACATTCCCTAAGAAACTCACAAAAAACCTTAGTTTTAATATAAATCGGTATTCCATATATCATATGTAGTTGCTAATACCTGTAAAGTAAAAATAAGGATATAGATCCTGTCTGAACAAAATGAAAGCTAGTATCAATCATCTTTGACTCTCCCAACAACATTTTGATGTTCAATAAAGATTTATAGGGAGCTGTAAAACAATTTTTGATATTTATAATTTA